ACTGGGCATCTCAAGGACTCCACCCAGCCTCCCTCTCCTTGCAGACTGTGGATGTCCAAGGACCCGCCACACACATAAATAGTTCGTCTAGCCTTGTCCCAGCCAAGGCCTCCATCCATTGCCCCATCCACCTTCTGGGTTGCCCTCTCACTACCCCCTCCCTGCCAATGCTCCCTTGTCACACACCTCTCTTCCTTTATCCCCTGAAGTGGAGACAAGATGAGACATACACTAATACTGGAAGGGGCACAGCAGGTTGAAGTTGAAGATTTTAGACTCGAGCTGGGTGCCCTGGGTTCGAATCCCAGCTCAGACAGCCACCCTCACAGGCCCAGTGGCTCTCACCCAGAGTTAAAACCACACCTGCTGACCCCATACAGAGGAGCACCCTTCCTGTGGCAGCCAGATGTGCCAGGCCATACCCGCTGTTCTGGGTCATCCTGTGCAGCTGTTGGAACCCACAGGCTGACTGCCCATCGCTCCCCTGGGACCACTGAGGCCAGTGCGAGGCTTTGTGAGGCCCCAGAGGCTGCAGGGAGGTGGCAAGAATGCTGACCTGAGGCCTCCTGTCCCCAGAGGCCTTGCAGGTGGACAAACAGCCAATGGGGCAGTAAGAAAAGGCCGCGTTTGCTTCGCTTGTGTCTGGTGAGCATGTTCCCCAATGAGGGTCCTGACTTCTAAGACTCAGAAGTGTTCTGTGCCACATGGGGACAGTGAACAACTGGGCTCCCATCAGGCACTGGACGCTCTGCAGGTTTATTTCTTAAAACTCAACTAGGAAACAACCTTGGTGCTTGGAAAGGCTCATGTGAAATAACACACGGTCACTCACAACTGGTCCCACTGTTATAAGGTGCTGGACAATGCTGCTGGAGACTGACGGGTGGTCAGGGTGGCCAGCCCCAACAACAGGAGTCAGGAGTCCAGGATGAGCCACAAACACAGGCGATGGGGATGTCCAAGCCATCTCAGTCGGGTTATCTGGGATGTCACCACCAACACAGAGTCTAGGCTGTCACACTAGCAAGGCCAGCAGGGACATTCAACAGCTGGAATCCCTGAGGCGATCTCAAAAGCCACCAACAGCAGACCACCCCCCACTCCCACAGCAGCTACGCTGCATGGGGACACCCAAGAGGCCTCTGCCAGGGTGAGCGTCTGACTGGTGAGCCAAACAGCCACCCAGCACAGTCTTCAGGGCCCCTCCAGCAGAAGCTCCGTGGAGATGCCTGAACAGGGACACCTAGGCAGGGGTAACATCAAAGTGGTCACCATCGATTCTGGAAGCTTCCAGGGCATCAGGAAAGGCAGACAGGGCAGGGGAGACCCACCAGGGATGTAAAGTGCAAAAGACAACTGGCCCAACCTAGGAGCAATTTCCAGCTGACGTGGAGATCCCTGCCAATGACCCCTGCACCCAGTGTGGGGCGAGCAGACCACCCTCAGCTCCTCCATTTGGCTGGGAGGGCCAGGGGCCTGCCTGGAGTTCACACAGGGCTACAACATCCTGGAACCCAGCAGCCTCAGGAGGCCTGGACTGGGTGAGGGCCCCTAAGGCACAGCTGAGAGGGAGGTGGGGAGGCCCCACTCTGGGTCTAAGATCCAATGGGGATAACAGATGGAGGCCCCATGAAGGCCACAGTTCCCAGGAAATGTCTGCTCTGCACTTGACAGAACAGGGGAAGAGAAAGGGAAGAGATGGAGGAAAAGAGCGAAGAGGTTAGGGCAGATGGGCACAGCAGGAAGGCTGAAGCCAGGAAGCAGGGAGAAGAGACACACAGACACAGGAGCAGAAGAAAGGCAGGGCAGGACAAGAAGAGCGTGCAGGGGAACAGGCAGAGGAGAGTGAGGGAAGGGGAGAGACACGGGTTCCTCCCGGGGTCCAGTTTCTTGGCCCCAGGACAGAGGGCAGAGCTGTCTGGCTCCAGCCCACCTTGCTTGCTAGGCCTGGCCAGAAATCTCTGGACAGCAGAGGAGGGAGTGTCAGAGGGCAAAGGCACCCGAGCAGATGCGAGTGTAGACATCCTGGTCCAGGGGCAGATAGTGTCCCTGCTTCAGGTCCAGGAAGAAGAGCCGGTCC